TCACAGCTGGGGTGCGTGAAGCCAAAACGCTGTCGGCTGTGTGGATGCTTGTGGTTTCCTTTGTAACGTTTTAGTCTCATTCCTACCTTAGCAGCAGTGCATGGGGGGACACCTAAAGATTGGGGTGAGAGTTGTGAGGACTGGCAGCGTGTGGAGGGAGATGCTGGGAGCAGCTGATCCTTCAGTACCCTGCATCCCATGAGCTCTCCCAGTGGCGTCTCCTCCTCCAGTCCTGGTCACTCCTCAGCTGCTGCCTCCCTGGCTTGGGGGATTGAGGTGATGTGCCTGACAGCAGGGGGTCTGAAGTGACGTGGCACCGAGGGTGTTTCCAGTGACGTGGGTTGGACAGATGGTGCCCTTCTCCAGCCCGAAATGACAAGTGACACGTGCCCTCCTGACCAGCAGGCTCCATCCGTGTAATTTCCTCTTCACGGGGCTCCCGGCTGGGCTTTGTGCCGCTCCCCCTGTCCAGTGCCTACCCTAAATAACATCTCCCTGCCCTAAATAATATCTCCCTGCCTGTCTGTCAGCCCCTGTGTGCCCGGGGGTGAGCTGCCTTCAACCACGAGTGCCTCCGACCAGGCTGTGCCTGGCTTTGGCAGAAACCCCTTCCCTGGGAGGTGAGTTCCCTTCCTTTCGGATTTCTGGGTCTGGTAGGGTGCTGTGGACAGCAGGGATGGGACCAGGCAGGGATGTGGCACCCTTCAAGCAATGAGCCAGACTGTTTTCGTTGTGGAAGGGACAGACAAGAGACAACAGGGAGAGGAGCATCTTGGCAGGCAGTGTGGGGTCCTGCTGCCCTTCCTCTGCTGCCCATCCCTGGCCTGTGTGGTCACAGTACAGGCCTGTGTTTAAAATTAGCGGTGGGATTACTTTCCTCACAGGCTTCAGAAACGGACTCAGAATTCTGGCAAATTAAGATCCTGCCAGGATGATGGCAAGGAAAGCTGAGTAGGCTTGGGGGAAGTTGTGTTGGAGGTGCATTTTCCTGTACAGGGCTGCAGAGGCTCCTTGGTGCTTCCCACCTTGCTTGCCCTAGGAGGGGGCTTTTATGGGATCACAGAGAGGTTTGGTAGGCAGGGGCCTTCAAAGATCATCCAGTCCCACCACCCCTGCCATGGGCAGGGACACCTTCCACTAGCCCAGGTTGCTCCAAGCCCCGTCCAACCTGGCCTTGGACACTTCCAGGGATGGGGCAGCCACAACTTCTCTGGGCAACCTGTGCCAGGGCCTCACCAGCCCTGGTCATGGTCCGACCTGACCCCACCCTCAGTTTAACACCAGTCTTTTGCTGGGCCCCCAGAGCTGGAGGCAGCTCAGGGGTTCTCAGGAGAGCAGAGCAGACTGGGAGCATCCCCTCCCTCACCTGCTGCCCGCACAGCTGGGATGAGCCCAGGACACACTTGGCTTTCTGGGCTGCCAGTGCCCATGGCTGGGTCATGTCCTATTTGTCATCCACCAGTATCCCCCTATCCATCTCCACAGGGTGCTCCCAGCCATCTTTCCTTTGACTCCTTCCTGTAGATGACCATCCTGTTGGGCACATGGTGAGGTGGCAGAGGCTGCTGGCACGATGTGTGTCCCCCCATCTGGGAGTGCTGGTGGGGATGTCCTTGTCCCTGACATGGAGAGGCTGAGCAGGATGGGGGGAAGAAAGATCCGCTGGCCTGAGGGCAGGTGTGTCCAGGGCAGTGTTTGTGTTGGCAGCTACATCTTCCATAACTCACAACATGTGTCCTGAGCATCTGTTGGCAATGTCTGAGGTCCTTGCAGGGGTGTAGGGGGAGGTCTGTGTTGTAACTGCCCATCCTGTGGGCCCTGGGCACCACTCGCCTTCATCAAAGGCAGTCCATGCTTAAAATCAAGCACAGCACAAACCACGTGGGGTTCCAAGTGATCTGTGAACTGGAATGTGAACATGGATGGTGGTTATATCCCCGTAGCAAGAATCCATCCGTGCAGACATCCTTCCTAGCTTTAGGAGATGATGCTCTGCGACCTCCTCGATGGTGAGCCCTGCCGCCCATGTGCTGTGGGTGCTGGGGGAATGCTTGGGATGCTCCAGGAGCAATGGAGCGTGTGCAGGCATTGCTCTGGGACCAGTTTTTGACCCCAGGTGGACCTGATCTTACATCCAGGCTCGCTGCTGGCTGAAGGAATGGCACAGCCGGCAGTAGGGCTGGAATGGGAGGTGACAGCTGTCACTGTGCTCAGATGGGTTTGAGAGGCTGCAGCAGCAATGACATGGGACAGGAGGAGGGACAGGGCTATTTGGTGACACCGGGGTGCAGGAGGGGTGTAAGAGAGCCCACAGCCAAATCCTGCCCCTGGCCCTGGGGAGGTGTGGGTGCTGTTCGATGTGGCTGTGCATCCAGCTCTGCCCAGAGCTGAGCTGTGCTCTGGCTCTCAGTGCCATGTTGTGACAGCTGGAGGTGGGAGAGATGGTGTGGACTTGGTGGAAGAGCAAACTGCTGCTGAATTTTGAATGCAAAAAGCTTCAGGGAAGGAGCTGGGTTCTGCCTGATGCAAAGGGCAGTGTCTGCTGCAGGGCCTGTATGACCCCAGCTTGAACCAGCACTGGTGTGGCCAGTGGGACCAGGGCAGGGACTGTCCCCCTGTACTGGGCACTGCTGGGGCACCTCAAATCCTGGGGTCCATTTTGGGCCCCTCACTCCAACAAAAACATTGAGGGGCTGGAGTGTGTCCCGAGAAGGGCAATGGAGCTGGATCAGGGTCTGGAGCACAAGTCTGAGGAGGAGCTGAGGGAGCTAGGGGGACTCAGCCTGGAGAAAAGGAGGCTCAGGGGGGACCTTATCTTCTCTCCAACTCCCTGACAGGAGGATGGAGCCAGGGGAGGATTGGGCTCTCCTCCCATAGAACAGGGGACAGGACAAAAGGAAATAACTTCAAGTTGCTCCAGGGGAGGTTTAGGTTGGATATTGGGAAAATTTCTTTACTGAAAGGGTTGTCCAGCCCTGGCACAGCTGCCCAGGGCAGTGGTGGAGTCCCCATCACTGAAGGGATTTAACAGATGTGTAGATGTGACACCTGGGGACATGGGTTAGTGGTGGACATCAAACTCTTAAGTGTGCCAACCTGTTCCCAGGCTGGTGGCCTTGGCCATGGCCCAGCCCCACTGGGGTACTGTACCCAAAATGGGCAAATTCTAAATTCTGGACTTCAGGGAACAGTCTTCTGTGCCCACAGAGTGGTGGATAAGGGCAGCAACGTGCCTGCTTTCCCTTGTCAGGGTGAGATTTTCACTGGAATAGTGGCAACTCTGATCATGTGGGCTCTGGGTAAGCATGAATGGGAGAAGCATGAATGAGTTATCCAGGCAAAGGGTGCCACGAGCAGTGGCAAGGCTGAGAGCTGAGGTCTCCTCTGGGTGAGCCCAAATCAGTCACCGTAGGGTGAAAAGGCAATTTTAGGAGGAAGGATAGATATTTCATCTGCCCTATTTCAAAGTAAGAGCCATCTCTCTGCAGACCGTAGTGGCTGCCTCTCTGCAAAGTGTGGAGGGACCACGGGGTGACGTGTAACTGTCTGCAAAAGTGGGACCATTATGAGATGGGCAGAGACAGTCCTGTCTGAAATCTCCATTCCACTGCCTACGTCTCTCTTGTGAGGATGGAGTAAGAAGGAACTTTTCCAGCCTGTTAATTTTCCATTTCCCTCCATCATGTAGCTGCTTTGGATAATAATCTTTTAAATGTCTCCTTATGCAGAGGACTGTAATTTTTCCTTCCCCTGTGAGCTGGCGTCCCCCGCCTCGCTGGGACAGGAGGTATTTTCAGCTCTGGTGACAGTGACACACATGCTTCTGCAGACAAGGACAACCCCTCATTTGCCTGCTGGGGCTTTACTAGTTCTGTTGTATTATCTGTTCGCTCCCACCTTTCTTGCACTCTGCAGCACTCCTTTTATTTTCCCATGGCAGCATCCCTCATGTTTCCCACCGCAGCATCTCCCATGCTTCCCCATGGCAGCATCCCTTGTGTTTCCCATCACAGCATTCCTCTTGTTTTCCCATGGCAGCATTCCTCGTGTTTTGCCATGGCAGCATCCCCTGTTTTTCCCATCATGGCATCCCTCATATTTTCCTGTCTCAGCATCTCTCGTCTCCCATTGTGGCTTCCCTTATGTTTCCCATTGCAGCTGCCCTTGTGCTTTCCCATGACAGCATCCCTCATGTTTCCCATCACAGCATCCCTCATATTTTCCCATTGTGGCATCCCTTGTGTTTTCCATGGCAGAATCCCTTGTGTTTTCCCATGGCAGCATCCTTCGTGTTTTTCATGGCAGAATCCCTCATGTTTCCCATCACAGCATCCCTCATGTTTTTCCCATTGTGGCATCCCTCATGGTTTTCCTATTGCAGCATCCCTCATGCTTTTCCCATGGCAGCATCCCCCGTTTCCCATGGCAGCTTCCCTCGTGCTTTCCTGTGGCAGCATTCCTTGTGTTTCCTATGGCAACATCCCTTGTGTTTTCCCATCACAGCATCCTTCATGTTTTCCCAGTCGCAGCATCCCTCGTGTTTCCCATCATGACATCCCTCCTGCTTTCCCATTGCAGCCTCCCTGGTGTTTCCCATGGTGGCATTCCTCGTGTTCCCCATCCCTGCTCTTTGCAGAGCCCTTGTGCTCACACACGGCTGAGGGAACCCATGAAGCTCCCGCTCCAGCTCCCTGTGGATGCAGTGGCGTCCTTATCCCTGTCCCATGCTCACTGTGGGGGCTTGTGCCATGGGGCACTGGCTGCCAGGGTTTTGGCTCTCCCTCACTTCTGGATTTGTTCATTCTGTGCTCTCTCAGTGTCCCTGGTGCTTGGTGTGGCAGTACCCGGGATGTCCCACACTCTGGCTGGTGTTTGTCCCAGGCCCTGAGAGTAAGTGAGCAAAGGAGAAGGGGAAGATGCCTCTGAGGAGCTCCTGAAATGGAGCTGTGAACTCTGCAGGAAGCACCTGTTGATACCTCTCTCTCTCCGTGTCGCTGCAGGCGAAGGACAGTGACGATGATGATGAAGTCACCGTCAGCGTGGACCGGGATCGCTTCATGGACGAGTTCTTTGAGCAGGTGAGACGTTTGGTCCTCCACTGCGGCTCTGATGCTGGTTCAGACCTTTCTGCTGGTGCCAGAGTGGGTTGTGGGGCCATGGTCCGGGCTCCCACCACTGTCAGGGAGCAGCAGTTGGGATGGGGATGAGAGTCCTACCCTGGCTGGTGCTGCTCAGCTGATGCTCGAGGTCCTTGGGGGTTATGCTCTGAGTGCTGAACATCAGGAACCAGGCTTCCCTGCAGACCTCAGGCTGTGGTGGGCTCACCTGACCCTATGGATGCTTTCCTGCTCCTCCAGAACTCACCAGGGCAGCATGCCCAGGTGATGGGGGCAGGAGAGCCTCACACCCAGCTCTTGGACCTCTCCCCAGAGCACCTCTGTGGAGCAGCAGTCTCTGCATGGGACTGGTTTAATTTTGTGCCTCCCATTCCCAAACAAGAGGTTGTGTTCTGGCATGTGGGTGGCTGTAAGATATGCATGCAGATTTTTAGCACACCCTTAGCTTGGCATGTGTGTGGGGGGTGTTAAAGTGGATCCATGCAGGCAATGGAGTGGGGACTGGGAGAAATCTGATGTGCAGGTGGAGGAAGATGAGCAAAGGGGTGGTGTGAGCCGAAGGAGAAGGCAGAGCTGGAGGGTGGGCAGCCTGGCAGGCAGAGAGCACAGGAGAGGTTTCCCCTCTTGGCGATGCCGGTGTCTCCCTGTAGTACAGAAGTGCAGGGAAGATACCAGCGCGGATTTGCTGGGAAACATTTCTTCCCTGGGCTGGGGGGTGAGGAACAAACTGGGCTTCTCAGCCCCTGGAGTGAAGAACAATGGGGGACTGAGCCAGCCCCACCTTGTGCAGCCTCAGCAGCGTTCTGGCAGAGGGGCAGAGTCTGGGAATCAGATCTGATGCTGATTTATATCAACGCCCCAAGTTTCTCAGTGCATCACAAAGGATACAGGACATACAGTCTGTATCACACCACTGTGACTGCAGAGCTGGCTGCTGGGATGGCAAAGGCCCGATTCCTCACTGGTCCTATAGTTTCCAGCTGGAAAATATTCATCCAGGACAATGTTTGCTGTGGTTCAGACATATCACGGTTGCTTTGGGATAGGGTTCAATAATCCCTCTACTTTCCAAAAGTCCAGGTCTGTCACAGACCACCTGTCTTGTTGCCTGCCTTCCACAGGTGGAAGAAATTCGAGGGTTCATCGACAAAATTTCGGAGAACGTGGAGGAGGTGAAGAGGAAGCACAGCGCCATCCTCGCCTCGCCCAACCCCGACGAGAGTGAGTGACCTCCGTGTGTCCTGCGGGCTGGGCACCAAGGGGTGGCTGGAGCCAGGCAGAATTCCTTGTGTCTGCAGGTGGCTGTGGCTGGATGGTCAAGGAGAGCTGGGACCTGCCTGGGGAGAAGGTGGAGGGGTGATTGGCAGCTTTGAGACCTTGTGAGGTGGTGAGGGTCCAACGAGGCTGCCAGAGGGGGATTTCTGAAGGAATGGGGCAGTGTGGAGGCTGGAAAGAGCAAGTGGCTGTTTTTGTGCTGCTTGGCTGTTGTCTTGCCACGGGCAGCCTGGGAGAGTCCGTGGATGGGCCAGAACCTGCTTGGCCCAGAAATGGTGCAGCCCATGGTGGGCACTTGGGACTCTGTGTCTCTGTTCTGAGGATGATTTGTTGCTGGTTGGCCGAAGAGTCTGTCTCTTCCAGACCTGTTTCTTCCCCAGTCTTGTGTTCCTGAGAAGAGGTTTGTTGCCAGGAACCAGAGTTAGGGATCACAGCACCCAAGAGGTGGCAACACTTGAGAGTCTGGGGGATCTGGCAGAGTTGGAGCTGTGGGTGCTGAGGTCCCCTGTCCCCCGGTGGGACCAGTGCTCTCCCAGGGGAGCCAGAGGAGCTGGCCCTGGGGGTGGTGGGGTCAGCAGAGACTTTCCATCTTCGTTGTCTGCAAATGCCTGGCTGGGGAGCGGGTGGGACCAAGGGGCTGAGTTGTGCAGGGAATGCAGGGCTGGGCACTGCGGAGCGGGGCTGGACTCTGGCTGGGCTCACCCGCTGAGGGACAGCACTGGGACAGCTCTGCTGCCCCAAACCCAGTCTTCAGTGTCACCACGAGCCCAGGTGGGCTCTCCTTTGCCTGCCTCCCTCATGGTGTTGTCACAGGGGTGGTGGGTGCTGCAGGGCCAACCATGCAGGATGACCCTAAGCTGTGGTAGCCCTTGTCCTTGGCAGAGGTGTTGCTTTTGCGGTCTGAGTGCTGCTCGTGCTCTCAGGCTGGCACAGGGGGGTGCTTGGGGGCTGGAAAGCTGAGACCAGGTTTCTCTCTTGCCGTCTACCCTTCTCCCATCAACTTCTCCTCGTTTGCTCAGTGCAATTCCATGTCTGCACGTGGAATTGTTCCTAGAGGCCCCAGGAGGGTGCCTACACACACATTGCCTTGCGTCCAGCCCATGTCAAATCAGTAGATATTGTAATTACTTGGAAGAACTGGCCCTTCCTAAGTTGTCTCAGGCTTCCCTCTCCTGGCAGCTGCTCCTCAGCTAAAATTTCCTTAGCCAAGCCTGGAAGCGAGGGATTTTCTCGAGGGAATTCACGTGTCCCAGACTGTTGCTCAATCATCCTCCAGGCTCTTGTGCTTGCACTGTAAGATGTTGCAGTGTTCCTGTTTGGGGGTTTTCAGGGAAGAGCTGTCACTGCTCCTGGCTGCTGCAGTGGCACGGGGTCTGCTCGGGGCTGCAAAGGGCACTCGTGGCCTAAAAGCATAATAATCTATTTAAAAGTCTGAGATCTGCAGTGAACAGGATGCAGTGATGTTGCTGTGGCTTCCAGAAACTTCCAGGATGTTGGGAGTGCTTCTGGTTTTGTTTTACAGTGTTACCTTGCCTTGGTATTGTAGAGAATTTGGTTTGTCATGCCAAGAACTGTTTGGGCAGCAAAAGAAGAGTCCACACATTCAGAAATCAGTGTTCTGTAATATTGTGGTGCAGCAGGACTGATCAGTGGTGGATAGACTGAGAATCACAGAGTGGTTTGAGTTGGAAGGGACCTTCGAAGATCATCCAATCCAACCCCCTGCCATGGGCAGGGACACCTACCGCTATCCCAGGTTGCTCCAAGCCCCATCCAACCTGGCTTTGGACGCTTCCAGGGGTGGGGCAGCCACAGCTTCTCTGGGCGACCTGTGCCAGGCCTCACCACCCTCACAAGGAAGAATTTCTTCCCAATATCCCATCTAACCCTGCCCTCTATCAGTGTGAAGCTGTTCCCCCTTGTCCTGTCTCTCCATCCCTTGTCCAAAGTCCCTCTCCAACTCTCTTGGAGCCCCTTTAGGCACTGGAAGGGGCTCTAAGGTCTCCCCAGCAGACTGCACAACCCCAACTCTCTCACCTTCTCTCCATGGCAGAGCTGTCCCAGGCCTTGGACAATTTTGGTGGCCTCCTCTGAACCTGCTCTGCCGGGTCCATGTCTGTCTGTGCTGGCAGCCTCACCCCCACCCTCCTGTGCTCCTCCTGAGTGTGCAGAGAACCTGCTCATTAATGCAGAAGCTTGTTGTAACCCAGGGCAGTGAATTTATTGAGATTAATTTGGAAATCCAGAAGCAAGGTTCCCATGAGGCATGGGAGGAGGAGGGAGCCTAAGAGCACTGAAGTGTAGGTGGTGAGAGGCTGGTTTTGGGGTGGGCTCACTGATGTTTGCTGTTTAACAATAGCAAGGAATGATGTCTGGGATGGCCATCAGGGCAAGACATTGCTCTCTGCAGGGATTTGGGATGCTGCTTGTGCCCTCTGCAACAGCACCTCAGTTATTTCTTAGTGATCTCTAAGCACTTTAGCATCATGTGGAACCTTCACTGCAAGATGATGGGAAGTGTTCCTCCAGGGAATCAGAAGGAAGTCACGGACTTCTCATTCTTGTCTGGAGGCACATGTGCTGTGCAGCTTGGTGCGGTGTGGGTGTAGTTTCTCTGTCAGAGATACAAACTCCTTAAACACCAGCAGCAAGTCCCTCCTGGAGCTAGAAAACCTTTGAGTGGGGCTTTAGAAGATTGGGACAGAGCTGGACTGGTAATTTGGGAAATGGATGGGCACTGTTTGGAGTTACTGTTGGAGCACTGAGTGAAGGGATGGATGGAGGGATGTGTAGTGGCTGCTGTGTGAATTGCTGCTGTTTCAGGATCACTAGTAGAGGAGAGGGACTCCACAGGTGCAATCCCACTGGAATCTACTTCTTAAATGTCTGTGCTTAGGCAGCTGCAAGCCCTTGGTGCTCTGCTGTTGCAGGAGAAGTTGAGGTCCGTGTGTCTGTGTGAGACCTGGATTTACCCACCTGCCTGGCGTGCGGCGGAGGCGCAGGGCTGGATCCGTATCTCACAGAAAGGTTCATCCCTCCCCTCCCTGCTGATCCCTCTTCTGGCTGCACAGACTGTTCTTGGATCTGCCTTGCCACTGCTGCTTGGGCTTATTTTGGAGCCCAGTGGGTGGGCAGCTGGCTGGCTCTGCCACCGAGCCAGTGAGGTGACAGCCCCTGCCTGGGCTCTGACAGACTCGCATCCGGCTGCGGGGGCACAGGTAGGGTCTCCCCGCTGAGCTGGGCAGTGTCACAGTGGGGCTGGGGAAGCTGAGGGGCTGTGTTTCTCCTTCAGTCGGGGCCATTGCTGCTGCTACTCCAGATTTGAGTCACAGCTCCTGGTAAATCCGTTCCTAAAATCCTTCCCGTTGAGCTGCAGCGCTTGTTTTTGCTCCTGGTGCTGGAAGCAGGCTGATCCTCCTCGGTCCGGGTCACATCCCAGAGGAGGTGGCTTTGGGTGGCGTTCCAGTCAGGGAGGAGTGGAATAATGTTTAGTTTTTTCCTGGAGTGGTCGGGAAGGATTCCTTTGCCATTCCTCCTCTCCGAGCATCACATCCCTCCAGTGGCCGCCCTCCGCCGCTCCCCGGTGCTGCATTATGTAACGGATGCTGTTTGCTCAATGAATCGCCTCTGGGAACGTAAATCTTCAAATCCCAAGTCGTGTCTGTCAGCCTGTCAGCTCAGCCCATCTCTGCAGACTTCGGGAGACCCAATAAATGTTTCAGACCTGGAAGTAGGTCCATTACGGCTGCACCAGGACAAAGTGGGAGGTTCAGTTCCATGAAACTTGACCTCCAGCTTCATAATTTTATCTGTGCAGGGTCGAGGTGGTGGTGTTGGACACCAGGGTGCAGAGCCAGGGTGACTTTGTTGGCTCTCTGGCTGCTGGAGGAGATTTGAGTTCCTTGGAGAGTGGCCTCTCTTATTCCTAGCAGACCATTTCCTGGCAGAGAGGCGTGCCAGGTGGGCAAGGAGACAAACTGTATCTGCTCACCTCTGTCTGATGTGTTGAGGCAGCACTGGCTGGTGCCAAAAAGGCAATTTGGAGCTGTCTGGGTGCCGAGGCACTGGTTGGACCCCTCCATGTTCTCCTGTAAGCACAGCCTCACCTCTCAGCAGTCCTTTTGGTGTGTGTCCCAGTGGGAAGCCCACTGTGCCCTGAGGAGCTGCTGCTCAGGTGCTGCTGGAGCTGGTTCCTGCTGGAGCTGCTCTCCTTGGACACGGCTTTCTTTGCCCTCTCAGCTCCGCTTCCCACCATGGAGTGGTTTTTCTGGGGGTACTTTCCCCCTGGTGCCTGGTCTCACCAGGGCAGGGAGGAGGTTTCCTTGAAGACCAGTCATAGTGTTGGAGGCTGCAGGCTCAGGACTGTGTGATGCTCCTTTGGGAGGAGCAGTGGAGAGGGCAGGCAAGGGTTTCAGCCTTACTTTGTTCTCCTGCCTTCTCTTTGCTTTCCCACCCTCTCTGCTGCCTGCCCCAGCTTCCCTGGGATGGGGAATCAGAGCTAGCCCAGACTTCAGCAGACACTGAAGAAGGAGGCAAGGGGAGCTGGAGCTGTGGTGAAGTAAATGAGGCCCCAGCAAAGCAAGGAACCTGGCAAAAGGTGTCTGGGCACGTCCTGGACACAGAAAGCAAAGCAACATGTCCTTCCATTTGCCTTGCTGCTCTCACCTCTTGTCTGCAGCTGTCCCTGCCCCAGTCACATCCAGCTCAGGTCTGGCCTGAAGCAGGGACAGATTCACAAAGTGGTGAATAGAATGTTTTGGGTTGGAAAGGACCTTCAAAGATCATCTTTTTCCAATCCCCCTGCCATGGGCAGGGACACTCTCCTCTACACCAAGTTGCTCCAAGCCCCGTCCAGCCTGGCCTTGAACACTTCCAGGGATGGGGCAGCCTCAGCTTCTCTGGGCAACCTGTGCCAGCCCCCCCGGTCTGACATTTCTTCCCCATGT